ATGATCTTCGTAGCACGTCCTCGTAGTTGGTGAGGTCGATCCTGTGCACTAATTTTAGATTTCCATTTAATATTCGTCCCACGCCTTGCTTTATAGTCATGATAGGTGAATTGAACTCACATATTTGTAAAGCTGTCGAAACACTAAATAATAGGCTGAAAATAGAAAAATGTTTTGTTAGTTGGGAGAATTCTTTATATGTGGCTTGTGAATTCTTCTTCCGCTTTCGGTTGTGACTGTAACATTGTTATTCCTAGCTATTATTTCCTTTTTAAAGGGGTTTGTTCTTGCTCTTTATTTGTTTATCGACAACGAAGATAGCTTTTCCAGGTTCATATGATTTAGGTTGTTTCCTTTTATTCTTTTCTCTATTTATTTTATCTTTCTGGCTTTTACGAATTCTTTCAGCAAGATCTTCATGAACCTTGTCTTGAAAGTTTGTTAGGTGTTAGTAGTTGATTCGTTGCGTTCTTCTATAAAAAATGTCTGATGGATTTTTTCCAGTAACGGAGTGAATGCTGTTGTAGCGATGACGGCAATGTTAATTGTTTCTTTACATAGTAAATTTCGATGTTCCTATTGTAGGCATCTGGATATTTCCTCTATTGTTGAGTGGACTTGCTCTACAGCACCATTTCCTTCACTTCTTTGCGTTGGAGTGAGGTATACCTCGATTCCCAATGTCCTCAAATAATCGAGTATAACAGGGCTTGAAAAGCTAGGTTCTCTATCCATTACTATCGATACAAGTGATGAATTTTTCCTTATTTATTTGTATCAGATCTATGTGAAGGATTTCAGATGGATAGGTGGGTACAGGTGTTTCCGATAGTCATGGATTGCTGGGATGGCGGTCATATTTACTGGTGCAACATGTTTCAAATTCGGGAAGAATTCCATTTGCGGGAAGTAGTATTTCTCCATTATTTGTTCCTTATTTTCCTACCAGTTCCTGTGTGCTCGTTTATGTTCATGGTTGATAATTTGATACTTATTCTCCTCATTGTTGATATCCTGCTCGATTCGTTGTGTTATGCGAATTTTGTATCCTTGCAGATGGTTTTTATATAAGTCCTGGAGCAACTAAATTCGATTTTCGGGTATTTTAATACCATTGACAATTGATGGTGATAGTGTTCTCTTCAATGCTTCTAATAGATTTGTATTGCTGATATCCTGAAGACCAATATAATGGCGGTGGTAATTTGGATGAGGATTTTCGTAGGCAGAAGGTATTGGTCCTTGTGAAATGATGATCTGATTTTTGAATACGTTAAGCGGAGCTTCGCAATGTGGTATTAAATCGCTGCTGTCCTCTTCTGCGCTGTGCACAGTTACTGTAGTTTCTGTGTTGTTGAGTTCTTGTTTTAGTCTTGAAAGTGCATCGGAAACTTTGTTAGTGACCCCTGGTTTGTATAATAACTCGTAGTTGTATTCCTCTATTCGTGATTTCCATCTCTTAAGCTTGGCGTTGTTGTTTCTGTTACCTAGGCTGAACGTTAAAAGTTGGTGGTCCGTTAAAATTTTTACCCTTTTTGCTCCATAGAGGTAACACCTGAACTTGTACAGAGCCCAAACTATTGCTAATAGCTCTCGCTCGTTGGTTGCGCATGCTTCTTCTGTCTTGTTGAGTGCTCGGGACGCATATGATATTGGAAAATCTTTGCCTATGTCGCCTTGCGACAGCACTGCACCGAGTGCTATATTCGAAGAGTCGGTCGTAAGGATAAAAGGTTGTTCAAAATCGGGGAATACTAATAACTCTGTTGATGATAAGGCCTGTTTCAATTCTTTGAATGCTCTGAGTTCCTCTTCGTTGAATGTGATTGCTATTTTCCTTGATTAATTGGCCTTTACTTGGGCATTTTTACATCGGGTAAGGTTGGCAAGTGGTTTAGCTAATTGTGAGAAATCCCTGATAAACCTCCTGTAATATGATGGTAACCCCAGGAAACCTTTTAATTCCTTCAAGTTTTCCGGTATCTTCATTTTTTGTATTGCTGTGATTTTTTCGGGATCTGTTTTTATACCTTCACTCGTAACGATGAAGCCTAAAAATTTTGTTTCGGCCTTCATAAATGCGGTTTTATCTAAATTAACTTTCAGATTGGCCTTCTCTAGTGTATCGAAAATTTTCTCAACGTTTCTCAGATGTTCGTCCTCAGTCTTTCCTCCGAATATTATCACATCATCGATGTACACATAGCATATTTTCCCAATATATTCTTTTATTACGTCTTCGATCATTCTCTGGAATATTGAGGGTGCATTTTTGAGCCGCGAAAATTCAAATTTACCATTCAATGTGGAGAAGGCGGTTTTCATTATATCTTCGTCCTTCATCTTGATCTGGTGGAAGCCGGAAGTTAGGTCTATCGTGGTGTAGTATTTAGAGCTCCTTAAACTCGCTATCGTTTGAGTAATATCCGGTATTAAATATGCGTCGGATATGGTAACAGCGTACAGTCTTTTGAAATATACGACCATTCTGTAGTTTCTTGTTCCTGTGGAGTCCCTTTTCTTTTCGACAACCCAAATAGGTGCGTTGTATGGACTTTTTGAAGGCCTGATGATTCCGTTCTCTAAAAGATTCTGAATTTGGTTGTTCACCTCTTTCCTCATGTTTACTGGGTATGGGTAAATTTTTGAATAGATTGGTTCGCTAGTCGAGGTTTTGATTTCTGCTCGAACTTGAGTGTCGATAGTTTCTTGATCGTTGAGAGGACCGAAGAGTTTCTGGTACTTGCTAAGAAGGCTGATGACTTTGTTCCTGGATTCTTTGTTTAGATGATCCATCCTTGTTTCAATATTGTTGACTTGGATCGATTTCTTGCCTCTTAACGGTATCATGATGTTCGGCGATATTTTCAGCGTGTTTTCTTTGCGATCGATGATTGCCTCCAGTTGTTTCGAAGTATCGTCGCCGATGATCCCATCGAATGATTTTAGTCCTGGTAGTAGGAAGAAATCTAATTTTGTGTTGTTGCCGTACGGTTTGATGAGTCTCGCACTGACTTTTTGTGTAATAGTAATATCTCCTCCAGCTGATCGTATAGTAAATGGGCGTACTGTCGGCCCTGGTTTCTTGGCGTGTTCTGGCTCTATGAAGTTTTTGTTTGCTCCAGTGTCTACAAGAAACTTGAAATTTTGTTGTCGGCTGTGTCGTATACTATGTATGGAATGCTCGAGAGGCTGGGAGTATAAAATTTAATTCGTCTTCTTCTTCGCATTCCGATTCCTCTGATTCGTGCTCGTAATTGGCTCTTAATTGTTCTTCATATTGTGCTGCATCTTCAGAAGTTTCGAAGTTATAAAATCTCTGCTGCTTACGATTCATGTAGCTTGGTCGTTTGAAATTTTGACTGGGCCGGTTGGAATAGTCCACCTGTTGTTTGTATCGAGTGATCAACTTCCATCGGGACAGGCGGTTTCGATTGGCTTGGTCTGGCTGGTGCCTCTTCGTTCATTCCCCTGAATGCGTATCTATTGCCGTTGTATGGCTGCTGGTAGTAAGTGCTTATTGGCTGTGGTTGGTTAAATGACGGTTTTTTCCTCGAAAGAGCATTGATTGGAGCTACCACTCTATTGGTTGAGCCCTTACTGTGTATCGGTATACTACGTACGCTGGCATTCTGAATGTCGAGGCAAGAAGAATACGCTTCTGGTAAGGATTGAAGTCGCTGAATGACGAGCATTCTTGATAGATCTCCGTTTCGCCCTCTTATGAACACATCTAGGGCAGTGTTCCGATATGTTTCGCTTAGTGCTTGGAAGGTGTCGATAGTGTAATTTTCTGTTTTTATTTTATTGATTATCAGCGACAGCTGATGATTGACTTTGGCGTAGAATTCGTCAATTGTGAGGTTCTTCTGAGTTAGATTAGATAGTTGGTGTACCAGTGTCCTGACATCTCGTTTATCAGCATAATGAAGGGACAAACATGCCTTTATTTCACCCCAGCTGTTGTCAAAAATATTGTGCGATATTAGATCACCATTCGCATTGCCTCGGAATTTTCTGGCGAATGTTCTGTAGTGTTGCTCTATATATGGGTTTGCGCTTTACGATTGCGTAATCTGCCAGTATGCTTTCGACGCTATGAACCCAAGATACGTACTGCGTCGGATTTCCATCGAACACGGCTCCTTTACTGCATCTGGCAATTTACAAATGTCTTTTAGTTCCTGCTCTGTCTTTGAGCCTACTGGTCCTGACGAGGAGGGTTGTTGTGTTGGTTTTCTTGTATTTTCAGTGATTCTATTTTAATTTGCAATGCTTTGTATTTCTTCAATTTTTTTCTCCCTATTTAATATTATTATTTTTTTTTTTATTTTTTGTAAATAATGATTCGCTACTTTTTAGCTTGAAAAATATTTGTCACTCATAAAAGTTTAATGAAGAATTTTCATTTTTGGGTTTAGTTGTACTTATGTTATTAGTAGAATGCTTCGCATTGGTTTCCGTTGAACAACTAACTCGTTATGTTCCCACGGTGATAACGTTCTGTAGTTCCAGGTCATTGCTACTTGGACTCCAGTTAAGAAATTTTAGTTCAATTTCTTGTAAAAAAATGTTTTTCTGATGTCCGTTTTATTGAGTTAATGTATTTAATTATAATAACAAAACTTAACTGAACCTAATTACTATTTTTGATTATATTTATAGTAAATAATTGATTATTAAGCAAAATATTACAATTATAAAGTTAAGGCTAAATTATAAAGTTAAAAATGCTTGTTAGGCATTTGTTGTTGGAATTATAAAAATAAAGTTCATAGGTAAATTGCTAAACAATATTCTCATGAAAATTATGCTGACCTCAGCGTCTGATGTTATGCGCGTGTATCATAGTGTCTTAACTTACATATACCTAAAATGTTGGGAGAATACAGAATAGTATTTTTTTTTCGTTTTCTTTTTCTATGTTATTCTTCCGAAGATGAAGAATGTAGGTAAAAATACACTTTAACAATTTAAAATTTCTTCTTCTTCTTCTTGTATTAGGCAATATTGCCTGTTTTTCCAATTAACCCCTTTCTGTCTGATCTTGTGATTGTGATATCCAACACTCCCTCCGTCGCTTCGACGGTCTTCCTGTTGGTCGTTTTGATGTTGGTTGACCAGTCATTTTCAATTTTCGCCAGACGATTTTCATTCATTCTGTGCACGTGATCTCTCCAGTTTCTTTGTCTAGAGCGGGTCCATCTGACGATATCCTGTACACCACACATATTGCGGATATCGCTGCTGCGTTTTTTGTCTCTTAGGCTGTAGTTACAGATTTGCCTCAGAGTTTGCATTTCTGTGGTTCGCAATCTTTGTTTGGTTTTGGATGTATCTGCTCTAGTCTCAACGGCGTATGTTAATATGGGTCGAATACAGGTTTTATATATGCGGACTTTGTTTTCTATAAGCATATATTTATTTTTCCATATGACGTCGCGTAGATAACCAGATATGGCTGCGGCTTTTCCTGCTTGAGCACACGTTTCACTTTCATTATCTCGAGAGGTAGTAATGTTCACACCCAAATACTTGAAATTGAGCACTTGCTCAATAATGTGATTGTTGATGGATAGTTTGCAACGTACCGGATCTTTGGATACAGTCATGGATTTGGTTTTTTCTGTAGATATCTCCATGTTGTATCTTTCTGCAGTTTTTGTCACTCGATACAATAATCTTTGCAGATTATCTTCATTTTCTGCAAGTAATACTGCGTCATCTGCATAGCATATAATTTTGATGTTATTGTCGCCAATTTGATATCCCCATGAACTATTGTCAATACTTTCAATTATCTTGTCCATGATCAAATTGAACAAAGTAGGGCTTAGACTATCGCCTTGTCTAACTCCAGTTGACGTTGATATTTCATCGGTTAACACATTTTGCAATTTGACTTTTGTTTTGTTGTTGGTGTACAAGTCTTGAATTATTCCTATTAAGGAATGATGAAATGAATGATGAATCCTGTAAAACTTCAAGCACATCGCCTAGCCGCACTCTATCAAACGCTTGACTAAGATCTACAAAACACATGAAAAGAGGCTTATTAAATTCGATTGATTTTTCGATTAATTGTCTTATGATGAATATGGCATCTACGGTGGACCTATTCTTTCGAAATCCATTTTGTTCTTCCCTGATTTCTATTGTTGATAAAAGTATATTATTTATTATTTTGGTTAGTAACTTTTGAACCGCACTTAGTAATGTAATTCCTCTGTAATTTTTTGTATCTTTTTTGTTCCCTTTTTTATATATGGGAATTGTAATACTTGTTCTCCATTCTAAAGGAACAGTTTGATTGGCCAGTATGTTGTTGAACAATTTAGTTAATTCCTGTTTAAGTTCAATTCCACTATATTTTAGGAACTCATTAACTATACCGTCAATTCCCGGTGATTTTCGATTCTTAAGAGTTACGATGGATTCTTCTATGGTTTTTATATCTATTGTCAACGGTATTTGAGTATGGTAATTGTTTGAAGGTGTTTGATTTTCGTTGGTTATTGGTGACCGCGTATTGAAGTTGTTTGCTAGACTTGCAATTTTTTTTAATTTTATGTAGTAAACAGAAAAATTTTTGTTTTATTTATTGTAACGAAAAAAACTATGAAAAAGCGTTCTAAATGCTCAAAATTTCCCAATATTTTTTTATTTTTGTATTTATCAAACTATTGCGAGATTTTTTGATTTTTTAATCTTCGAAGGAAATAATCACTGGAAAATGCTCACACTGGGAATAGAGCTAAATTACTATACCAAAATCACTAGGTACAAAATCAAAATTGACTACAACAAATGCAAACAGGTATTTCCATCTAATGAAGCAGCTACATATTACCAACTTTTTCATCGCTTCTAAACATTTTACTTTTTGTTAAAGAGCCAGACATGAGGAAATTTTTTTATTTAGACCAGAAAAAAATCTTACTAAATAAAATTCCTAAAAATATTTTTTATACTGCGCAATTTTTTTTTTCAAATTATATTCCATGCAACGAAAACATTTTAATTATAAAAAAATACTTTCTTAAAAGTCGGAGGACGCCACGTGTAAAAAAATTTGAGAACCACTCTTTTAGTCTTGAGATTCTTTATGAGTTTAATTTCTTTGCTATTACGCTATGCTATACAAATTTAATTTCATTCATTTTATTCACTGAGATAATATGAACAAAAACGAATGTATAATTTTTACATAAACAGAAACTAGAATATCGTAGAAAGGCAATAACAGTTTTATTTACGTTATCTCTATACCATATAGAAATAGGATTGAACGTGCATTCATGACATGTATGTAAACATGGTTTGATTTTAATATGAATGTGTTATTGCATTCGTACTAAAGAAACTATTAATGAACATTATACAGGTGCTAGAAGAAAACGATAAGGCGTACAGAGCTGCAAAATTTTTGTATTTTTTGTTTTTAAACTTAAGTTCCTTTAAAATCATTACTCGTTGATTAACTACAAAGGCTATTGCGGGCCTGGTGTAGGTTGTAGTATTTTATATTTTGTCAGTCAACGGTTTATTACCAGATCTAATTTTACATTTTCTTTTATTCATTAAATTAATTATTTATGTAGATAATATGATATGATTAAGCATGCCTTAATTTTGTTTCATTATTTTCTAGCATACATATTTGAATATAGTACGGTCCCTACCTAGACGGGCCCTACTCATGTCGGGATCATGTCGGACCCTAGATATAGTAGTTGCACATTTTATAGTTATTTGAAAAGATGTTTAACTTTTCTAAATTGACACAAAAAATTTATCGTTAATGTAACATATTAGTATGTTATTCATTTGAATTTTTTGTTGTAAAGTAAGTGTATCTGTAATCTAATATTATTTGTTTTAGCAGTAAATTTTATCACAGAAAACCCAGAAAAGCGAAGTGTTTTTTCTGAGTTTGTACAAAAGAAGTAGCTATTTTAAATTTATTTTTAAAAAATAATAATACAAAAATTTCTTTTCAATTTATATAGAATAAGGCAACTTGTAAAGCTGTTTAATGGTAAAAAGACATGAAAATAAAAATATTGCTTGGAATATTTATGCGCTTTGGCCTTATTGTTACATTTTATAAAATTTTTGGTCTAGCTGGGGAAAACAATAATAAAGTTAGAATACGTAAACATGGTTTGGAATTGACACAAAATTTTAACATTCAGCGCCAAGAACACTTGCAAAGAATGTGTAAGACTGTTGGCCACAATTCAAACACAATCGCCGAATTGTCTACCGAACAAATGGAGCATATGTTAATAGATCATAATCATAAACTGCTATATTGTTACGTACCAAAGGTTGGTAATATTTTATAGTTTCTAATTATGAAGAGTCATTATTTTATCATGTCTAATGTCGTTGCATGATATTTTACTATTTTTTCATTTCACGCTTATTTGTTTTACTCAGTTGCTAAAGTTTTATTGGCAAAGCAAAGAAATACATAAAGGCAAGAAACATCATGCAACGATATTGATATTGGTGTACTTCTAATGTTTAGAACTTTCTAAGTGTTTGAGTTTTCATATTATAAACAATGTTTACATGATACATGTTGTGTTTGCTAGTTTTACTAATAAAGCAACTTAGAAATAAATTTTTAAATTTGAATTTTGTTAATTTTTTTTCATAAAAATGCTTATGCGCAAAATAGGCATTCCGATTTTTTGTTATTGTGGTAAAAAATTTATTGAAACTTGGGATAGCTTAAGTGAAATTGGCGTAATTTGAATACTTAAAATGACTTCCTGAAAAACCAAACTGTGATTCCATATATGTGCATATGTTACGGAAGTTAAAAAACGTTCTTTTTAACATGTTGTGCAGTCGTCAGCAAAATTGATTTATTATTAAATTTTTTATCATAAAATTTTGAGTTATATAAAATGCTAATGCAATCAGCCTTATTCCCACGTCACATTTGTCACGTCCCCCTTTTTTTTTGTATTTTACTAGAAGCAAAATGTGAGGCGACAGAAGAAGCGAGACTTGAATTTTTTTGATGTCAAAAACTTAAATAGCTGCTTATAAATGAACTGGTAACAGACAAAAGTATAAATAATAAGATATAATAAGATATCAAAGTATAAATAAAATATAATAAGATATAATAAATCTAACAAAGAAAGGTGTCTCCAAACTTTTTTTGGATTTTTGATGAAAATGATGAAGAATATGGATTTTACATTAACTAGATTAAAATTTGAAATTGCTGCCGATCAGTTACTTTTATACTGGAATTAGTAAAATTAATTACTATTGCTATTAAAGTATGTGGTTATATTTACATTTTCTTCATTGTTACAAAAACTGAGACGCGTGTCTAGTAGAATAGCAATTCTGTCACCTCGCACATTTTTATATGCAACGCATCGAATATAACAAGGCTGAGTTTGTTAGCAGCAAAAGTAATTATATTATAATTAAAATTTTTTTAGAAAAGCCTTCTACATATTGCGCTAGTTGTCTTTAAAACAGGTTTTTAAAAAATTTGAATTTATATTTAAACTAGGCTTTAATAATTTAAATGTACGTTTAAAACTTCAATATGCTCGCGAAATTCAAATTTTCATGTTTGTTTTAAATATATATAAAATAATATTCTATCAATAAATATATTCTTTCAATTGTAAAATATATATACTATGTATATGTACATATATAAAATGGATCTCTTTCTTTATTTAAAATTATGTATTAAATTTATGTATTTTTTTAAATTTAATAGAAATAACATAAATTTCCGATTCCCGCAATTTTAAATAAGCAAACCCTGCACACATCGTTTATTTCAATATATTATAAACATAAAATAATGAGTAGGTGACTATTTAGGTTTCGCTAACATGTATAACTACTACGTGCAAATTAATGGGAGAACCAAATTTTTTTAAAACTAAATTTTTTAATTTTTATGGAACTATTGTTGTAAGACTGAAATATTTTAATTTTTTTTTACTTTATTGAAATGAAATTATTAGTATAAAAAAGGAAAAATGTATACTACTAAACATGTGTTTTTAATTAAATTAAACTTTTTTAACCCAGAAATTTGCACGATACTGCTATTTTTTTGCACGTCACTGTAACGTACATATATTTAACAGGTAGCTTGCACAAACTGGAAAAGAATGTTGATGATGCTCACATATCAGTGGAAATATGGACATAATGCCTTGGAAATCCCAGCAAGTCTAGTCCACTCCACTGGAATGTAACTACGTTATATATCAAATTTTTATGTTATGTGCACATGGAAACTGAAAAACTACTCTGTTTATTTTAGGTTCACAAAATTAAATTCGTTAAATATAAATGAGCGGAAGGATGTTTTATTCAACTACACTCGTTTTGTTGTTGTTCGTCATCCGTTTGAGCGCTTGCTGTCGGCGTATCGAAATAAGCTAGAGGGGACGTCTGCAAGTGCAAAGTATTTTCAGTTGCGTGTAGGGAAGCAAATAGTTTTAAATTTACGAGCCAGACCTACAAATGAATCTTTGGAGTATGGAAATGATGTAACTTTTGAAGAATTTGTACAGTATCTATTAAGATCAGATTTAAGCAAATCGAATATGACCTTTAATGAACATTGGGAGCCAATCGCAAATCTATGTAAACCATGTACAATTAATTATAATATAATCGGCAAGTATGAAACGTTACTAGATGATTCAGCTTTGGTTTTAGATGTAATTGGCGCCAACGAAAATTTAACATTTCCTGCTGGCCATAAATCATCCGGAACTAAGGAGAGTTTAAAAAAGTATTTTGATGCTATACCCGTAGCACTAGTTAGAAAGCTGTATGAGCTTTACCGTGATGACTTCAAGCTGTTTGATTATAGATTGGAGCACGTTTTAGGCTTTGAATTAGGGTGATTTGTTATTTAAGAAGTGTGTAACTTATGTGTGTAATATAGATAGGAAAAATAACAATAACATTGTAGGATGCATTTTCGGAAGATGTAGTTTACATACATACATACTTAACAATTTTGTGATATATTAAGTCAATATTTAAACACAAACAACATGTTTCTTCAGTGCTACTTAAGTTGAATAATTTTTGTATTATTTTTTTTTAGAATGTTTTAAAAATAAATTTTTAATGTAGTCATAAATACATATTTATTACATATATCTGGTTTCTGTTCATTAGAAAATTTGTTGCGGTTGCTCTGTTGTATTTAAGCAAGACAATATACATATGTATTTTATAAGTCCTGTGAAATCTACTGCGTCACAAAAGGCTTGTTATGGGTCATTAAAAAAAATTTCATTACTAATGCATATGTGGTCCATAATAAAACGTTATACACAATATTTATTTTTCAATCAAAATTTGAAAAGTGACATTTAAAATAAATATTAATATTGATTTAAGAAATAACGTATTAAATTTTTTTTGTTTTGTGTTTTTTTATACCCTGCACTTCGTGAAGGGTATATTAACTTTGGTATGGAATTTGTAATTACTTGAGGGAGTCGTCTCCGGTATAGACATGTATATATATTCTTGCTCAGCGTCGATTTAGACATGTCCGTCCGTCCGTCCGATCGCACAATAACTCAAAAACGAATAATGCAATCGACACCAAACTTTCACAAGTTGTTCCTTTTGTACCAAAGACGAACCTTATTGTTATTGGACCAATTCGGACAACGGGTTCGGGTAGCTGCCATACAACTCAAAGAGTTTATTTTAAATATTTCAAAAACTAATAAAAGGATCAATATAAAATTTTGTGTCCATGTATCCAATTATATTCTACATATACTTTAAAAATTTTAATGGGATAGCTGCACCGGTTCGGGTGGCTGCCATACAACTCCAAAAGCAAATTTTTTATATTCAGCAAAATAATAAAGTCAGATTCATGAAACTGGGCAGTTATATGTCCAATTATGGGTCAGATATATTTCTGAAGTTTTAGTGGAATTGCTTGACAGGTTCGGGTACTTGCCATGCAACCCCAAAAGCTCAAAACGAATATTTTTTAAATATTTGGAAAAATAATAAAGTCAGATCAATGAAACTTGGCAGTTGTGTGTCCAGTTTTAGATCATATATATATGCGAAGTTTTAGTTGAATTGCTTGACAGGTTCGAGTAGCTCTCATACAAGTCCAAAAGCTAATTTTAAATATTTGGAAAAATAATAAAGTCAGATTCATGAAACTTGGCAGTAATGTGTCCAATTATAGGTCAGATACATTTCTGAAGTTTTAATGGATTTGCTTGACAGGTTCGGGTACTTGCCATGTAACTCCAAAAGCTAATTTTAAATATTTGGAAAAATAATAAAGTCAGATTCATAAAACTTGGTAGTTTGGTGTCCAGTTATAGGTCAGATATATTTCTGAAGTTTTGGTTGAATTGCTCGACAGGTTCGAGTAGCTCCCATACAAGTCCAAAAGCTTATTTTAAATATTTGGAAAAATAATAAATTCAGATTCATGAGACTTGGCAGTCGTGTGTCCAATTATAGGTGAGACATATTTCTAAAGTTTTGGTGGGATTGGTTGACAGGTTCGAGTAGATGCCATACAAGTCTTAAAGCTTATTCTTAATATTTGGAAAAATTATAAAGTCAGATTCATGAAACTTGGCAGTTGTGTGTCCAATTATAGGTCAGATATTTGTGAAGTTTTAGTGGAATTGCTTGACAGGTTCGGGTACTTGCCAAACAACTCCAAAAGCTAATTTTAAATATTTGGAAAAATAATAAAGTCAGATTCATAAAACTTGGCAGTTGTATGTCGAGTTATAGGTCAGATGTATTTCTGAAGTTTTGGTGGAATTGCTTAACAGGTTCGAGTAGATCCCATACAAGTCTAAAAGCTTATTCTTAATATCTCGAAAAATAATAAAGTCAGATTCATGAAACTTGTCAGTTGTGTGTCCGATTATAGATCAGATATATTTGTGAAGTTTTAGTGGAATTACTTGACAGGTTCGGGTACTTGCCAAACAACTCCAAAAGCTAATTTTAAATATTTGGAAAAATAATAAAGTCAGATTCATGAAACTTGGCAGTTGTGTGTCCAGTTATAGGTCAGACATATCCGTGAAGTTTCTATATAATGGTTTCACATGCTCGAGTAATTGCTATACAACAAGGAATAGTGCACGGTATAATTCAATCGGTTTATACCGACTGAAACGTTTTTACTTGTTTTAAATTTCAATTTGTGTGTGAAAACAATAAATTTTCCATGGATCTAATAATACATGGATGCCTGGAAAATAATAATAGTTGAAGCCAGCATAAAACATGTTGCATTTTTGTTTTAATTTTTTACAACATAAAAATTGTTGCAACAAACGGTTTGAAAATGTGGTTAGAAAATGTGAATATAGTTAAAAATTTATATGAGTTAGTTTCCAATTAAAAATTTATAATTTTTTAATAAAATATAATTATACATACACACATGTTTTTATTTTAGGCATACATAATTATTTCTTCAAAATTAAAAATTATGTTTACTTTATATTTCTGTATGTTATTGCTAAGTATATTGCACTAAATTATTGACCGGAAAACAAAATGCTTTTTGTTAGATGTTGGCGAATATTTTTTTTTCTTAAATTTAATGTTAAATGTTTTGAATCATGATAAAGTCTAATTTTTAAATACTCAGATACTTTTATTCTTAATAAACATAATGTGTGATTATCGTACCTTTCGCACAACGAACTCTTCCCATACTAATTGTAATAATAAATTTAATTTTAGCACTGGATAAATATAATAGTATATTTGATTACCTTCATATAAATAGAAATGCCCGAAAGTGTTGCGTCGAAGGATGCAGAAGCAATATTCTACGAGAAAAGGATAACGTAAATGCTACACCTATATTTACCTTGTCAAAGAACGAAGTCATCAGGGACAAATGGAGACAAGTATTAGGAAAAAGGGGTTCTACACCACCGAAGTGTTTTTAATTTGTAAGAACTTTAAATTTTATTTAATATAATTTTAATTAAAAAGTTTTCTGAATTTAGTTGAATACATAGGTACAGTTTTCAGAAATATTGATTAAAAATTTTATTTTTTTATGTAAATACGTCATGCAGTTTTTTCAAAAACAATTTTGTTATGTATTTATTATTTTGGTTTTAACTGAAAAATATTTTGTTACCTGTAATTTATTATAATGTTATTTGTTACCTTTAACAAGTAACATTATAATAAATTACAGTAACTAGTATGTAAAGTAACTAGTTTGTAAGAACAAGAAATTGAATTTTGTTAATATTTAAACAAAATAAAATAATTTCTGCATATTTTTTGTATTTAATCGTTTTTATACCCTGCACTTCGTGAAGGGTATATTAACTTTGGTATGGAGTTTGTAACTACTTGAAGGAGTCATCTGCGGTATGGACATATATATATATTATTGCTCAGCGTAAAATTCTAAGTCGATTTAGACATGTCCGTCCGTCCGTCCGTCCGTCCGTCCGTCCGTCCGTCCGTCCGTCCGATCGCACGATAACTCAAAAACGAATAATGCTATCGACACCAAACTTTCACAAGTTTTTTCTTTTGTGCCAAGGACGAACCCTATTGTTATTGGACTAATTCGGACAACGGGTTCGGGTAGCTGCCATACAGCTCAAAGAGTTTATTTTAAATATTTCGAAAACTAATAAAGCTATAAATATAAAATTTTGTATACATGTGTCCAATTATATTCTACACATGCTCTAAAAATTATAATGGGATAGCTGCACCGGTTCGGGTGGCTGCCATACAACTCCAACAGCAAATTTTTTATATTCGGCAAAATAATAAAGTCAGATTCATGAAACTTGGCAGTCATGTGTCCAATTATAGGTCAAATATATTTCTGAAGTTTTAGAAGAATTGCTTGACAGGTTCGGGTACCTGCCATACAACTCCAGAAGCTAATTTTAAATATTTGGCAAAATAATAAAGTCAGATTCATGAAACTTGGCAGTTGCGTGTCCGATTGTAGATCAGATATATTTGTGAAGTTTTAGTGGAACTGCTTGACAGGTTCGGGTACTTGCCATATAACTCCAAAAGCTTATTTTAAATATTTGGAAAAATAATAAAGTCAGATTCATGAAACTTGGCAGTTGTATGTCGAGTTATAGGTCAGATATATTTCTGAAGTTTTGGTGGGATTGCTTGGCAGGTTCGAGTAGCTCCCATACAAGTCTAAAAGTTTATTCTTAATATTTGGAAAAATAATAAAGTCAGATTCATGAGACTTGGCAGTCGTGTGTCCAATTATAGGTCAGACATATTTCTAAAGTTTTGGTGGGATTGCTTGGCAGGTTCGTGTAGCTCCCATACAAGTCTAAAAGCTTATTCTTAATATTTGGAAAAATAATAAAGTCAGATTCATGAAACTTGGCAGTTGTGTGTCCGATTGTAGATCAGATATATTTGTGAGGTTTTAGTGGAATTGCTTGACAGGTTCGGGTACTTGCCATACAACTCCAAAAGCTTATTTTAAATATTTGGAAAAATAATAAAACCAGATTCATGAAACTTGGCACTTGTATGTCGAGTTACAGGTCAGATATATTTCTGAAGTTTTGGTGGAATTGCTCGACTGGTTCGAGTAGATACCATACAAGCCTAAAAGCTTATTCTTAATATTTGGAAAAATAATAAAGTCAGATTCATGAAACTTGGCAGTCGGATGTCCAATTATAGGTCAGACATATCCGTGAAGTTTCTATAGAATGACTTCATGGGTTCGTGTAATTGCTACACAATAACGAAAGGTGCAGGGTATAATTCAATCGGTTTATACCGACTGAAACGTTTTTACTTGTTTATTTTACAAACATCCCAAATCACTATATGAACATTTATAATTTATTCGAAAATACCTAGTATAAAATATATTTCGATGATCAATTTTCAATACACCATACGAATGCATTAGTAAATTGTGTATTATCAAGTCTTATAAAGATTTCTGTGTTACAATACACCGTATGTATGTAGTATTGCGGAGTCTTATATAAAAATTGCTGATTCCGGAGTCTTATGTAAAGATGTCTGTAGTTATATGCAACGAATTAGAAATACTAAAGGAAGGAGCATCTTGAAAAAACAATCAAGCCCAACTCTTTCTAGTTGTCTCCT